TCTTCATCGAATTTCACAATTTGATACCAAGAACAAGAGCTCTACGAGCTGTTCTTATAAGATAAAGAAATAATAATAATCTTTATTATAATAAATTTTTTATCTTAAAATGCAACGAGATATTGTCACACATTTCTCTTGATTTGCAAAACCTATTCAAAAACATTTTCATGAATCTTTCATGATTATTAATAGTATTTCTTGGTGGAATATTGCTTTTGATAAATCATATGTTCTTTTTTATTCGAAAAGAGAACAAAAAGAAAAATTTGATACTTTAGAGCATTCTAAAATTATTCCCTATTATGATTTTTTTAAATGTAAATGTGGTACTCGACCATATCTTGGAGATGATTTAAAACGAGAATTTCATCCTCATCTCTGGCAATATGATCCTCGACATAAAGATGCCAAATGTACTTTTAGAAGTTGGTGTAAATATTTTAAATTATTACAATCAGTTGATAAAACTTTACTAAAGAAAGAACGATTAGTAAATCTTAATCAAAAAGGATCTTTAATGAGGATAAAGAAAATGTTTCGAGAAAGAAAACTTGATTATGAATTTATTTTTGGATTAAAAGTTTTAAAGAAACTGGATCTATGATTTATAAAGATAAGCAAAAACTTTTACGAGAATTTAAATTGAATATCTTTAAACAAAAGAAGAAGAAGTTGTTGAATAAAAAAAAAGAATTACTTGATAAACAAGTTCTAAAGATTATTAAAGAATGAGAAGGAAGATTTATTCAAGAAAAGATCTCTGGTAATCAAGTAGAAAATGGAAATTCAGATTTTCACTTGGCAACATCTATATGAAGCCCTGAATATCATCCTTAATCCCTATCACTTTAGTGAACTTAATGTTCACTAATTCTTAATGATGATAAATTTATATTCTTGGTTGATATTCAAATTAATGTTTGAGAAATTTCAAGTAGAAGAGCAACATTTCGAATTTTGAAATCCAAAACCAGAAAAAGAACTTACAGAATGGATAATTTCAAATATTTTGATTTATTTATACTTTTCGACTCCAATTCCTTCTTCCGTTAGGTTAAAGTTAATAAACACAATCTAGTTGAAGGATCATAAAGGAAAATTATTTGCTTGAAATGATGAGCAAATTGAACCAATTGTTGCTGATAAGCTTGCAACTTATTTATTTCATGATCTTATCCTAAACCCGAATATAGATACATAATATTGGGTGTTGTTTATTGATTGATTAAATTCTGAAATCTACTTAGTATTATTACCGAATAGAAAATTCTCCTAGTAACTTTTAATTATACAAGAACACAAAATTTATGAATTATTCAAAAAATTTTTAGCTTTTAGTGAAATTCAAAATTCTCAAATTCAATTAAAAAATAATGATGATGATTATATTTCTGTAAACACTTATATATTTGATAATCAAAATAAACATACATTTTTTTCTTATTTTAATAAAATTAAATCAGTTGATACATTTTATTCATATCTTTATCCTAAAAATCGTGGTGAATGTTGGAATTGTAGTAGAAACTATGATCATACATGTTGTGATGCGTGTAAATGAGAAATAAAAGATTATACATATACTTTTATTTGTGAATTAACTTTTCCAATTGGTCGAAAAAATTCTAATGGTGAATATGTTCAATTTGATCTATGTAAATGGTTTACATCAGGAAATGATTTTAATCATCGATGTAGAGGAATGGTAAATACACAAGAAGAATTAATT